AAATGTTAGAGAAATGAAATTTGCATATAGATTAACAAGGATCTAGGTTACAAAACGACATTATTTTTTTGTATATTAATATGTGTAATTATTTGTTTTAGGGTGTGCGTGACTTTTGTCCAAGTAGTGTATTAATATAATAATGAAATAAAAACACACTTGAGCTGATTTTAGTGTCCGAGTTTGAAACACACATGGGCTGGTCAGTATTGGTATGTATAACGACCTTTACATAGTACATAGATAGTTACAGGTTCTAAAAATAATAAAAATGGAAAAAAAATCCTTTATTGTTGAATTAATAGCATCGAGATAAATCAATCACTATTTTTTAAAGGCTTATTATATCAAATTCTTTATCTGATAGAGAAAAATTTAAATTGAATAAATTATTTAACTATTAAAAAAAACCCATCAATGTAAAAAATATACGAGAGAATTGTTTGTTATACGATATTACTATTCAATGAATTATGTGTCGTGTTTCCAAACATACTAATATAATTTCCTGCAAAAGGAAATAATATTGATTGTAATAAATAAACGGATTAGTGTTTTTCTCAAACACAAAAAAAAAACATTTTCTCCAAACATTTTATAATGTCACGTACCAACTTCTTAACACCAGAAAGAGAGGAATTTGTATCTAGAATTTATAATGAAATGTGTAATGATGCAATGGTTAATTCTTTCATCATAAAAAAAAGAAAGATTATTTTTTTCTTATTAGTCAAAAAAAACAAGGAGCTTTCTGAAAATGAAAATGAATTTAGTAAAGGTTTATTTATAAGTTTGAATTAAGAAATGCAAAAGATAAAAGGATAAAACCAAAAGAATATAACAATCGTAAATCAATAAGATACTCTGATAGATTCTGTGAAGGTTGCATAAGCTTACAACTACAGAATCCTTTTACCATTTGGGCATTTGGAAATAACATAGTTGATGATTTTATTCAACAATGTCAAATGAAATCATTTTTGTCAGAACATATTTTAGGATGGGTACCTTATGAGCAACTTTATCATATAGCAAAGTTAACTGAAGGTGGATTCAGTTCAATTTATACTGCTATATGGATAAGAGGAAGAATAATTGATTATGATGAAAATAAAAAGGAATTTAGTTATTTTGGAGAGCAAGAAGTAGCATTGAAAAGTTTAAATGATTCAAGTAATTTAAAAAAAGGCTTTTTTGATGAGATTGGTAGTTGTCATTTAAAACAATACTGCATTATACAATACTAATTTATTTTATTTATTTTCAGGCAATTAATTATTTTAAAATTAAATCAGGGATGATTGTTTCTTACTATAGTATAACTAAATTCCCAAATAATGGAAACCATGCAATTGTTTTAAATTATTTATCAGAGGGAAATTTAAGGGATTATTTACAAAAAAAACCATTTAAATTTAACATTAAAAGACAGAATTACAATCTTTTATTATTTATGTAATGCATTACTTGTTATACATGAAAAAGATTTAATCCATTGTGATTTACATAGTGGTAATCTATTAATAGATAGAGGTAATTGTCATATACAGATTTAGGATTATGTGGCACGGTTGAGGGACACTCATCAAATCACGTCTAGGGGATTGTATTGTATATTGCACCTGAGCTACTTAGAGGCAAAAAGAACACAAAAGAATCTGATATTTATAGTGTTGGATGTTAATATGGGAAATATTTGCAGGTCATCCACCATTTAACAATAGAGCTCATAATCATTGTTTAATTTTTGATATATGTGATTAGTAACCATCAAGACTGTAATTTGAGAAAAACAACCTCATGCCATTAATTTACAACTACAAATAATAGTATCAGATAACATTGCACATAATACAACATGAAATAATAAATATATTGTATTGTATAACTAAATGAATATATATAATAATAAATAAAATAAAAATTACATGAAATATTTTTAAATATTTAAAAATCCTAAATCTTGATAAAGTCTTTAAATTTTTAAATGATGTTATTAATGAATTGTCTGAGTTTTTTCTTTTACTAGTAGATTCATAAAAGGTTATTGATTGTGAATGTGTTAATATTGCTTCTTTCAATTTAACTGGTATAATATTTTCACCTGATAAAATTCTACATGTTTCAATTACTAAATATTTAATTTGCTTTTGTGCCTTAATTAGCTGTGCTAAACTATGAGCATCTTTATTTTTATTATTACCATAAGATATTTTTAATGATTGAATATTTTTACAAATCTTTGTTAATTCATCAAACAACTCACCACTGAAAACAAAATTATCACATTGTAATTCATAAAGATCCTGAAAGATATTATCAAATATATGATGATTAATTAACAAATTATGAGGTATATATCCGGGACTAAACTCTCTAATACCTGCTGAATGATCTAAAATAAATTTTACTAATCTATTTTGTAAAATTTCTACACAGTTTGGTACATAAATGGTTTTTATTAGCCATCCAAATTTAATAATATAATAATTGAAAGAAACAAGTCTAGTACAAAATCTAGTGTAATTATATAATGGTGGTTTCTCCAATAATTCAAAATTTAATTCAATGTCATTTATAGTCAAGAAATCCTTATCTTCTTCTTTTAATAAACAATTAATTCGCAATTCGCCAGAAACGGAAAGAAATTACATAATGCAGATCGGGGCAAAATTTCTCGATTTTATAATAAAATAAATTTTATCACGTAACTTTATCTCCTGCTGGCACAAAACCTTATTATCAAGTATTACCTTCATGCATAATAAAAAACATTAGTATAATCTATTAATATTTTTGTTGTTAAAAAACTATGTGCTAATTTTTTACCAATAAAGTATGAATTCAAAACCGGCTCAGGATTATGGGTAAAAAAAATTGCAATATTTGAAGCATTCAACTAAAAAAAAAATAGAAAATTCACTTGGAAAAACGTAAATAAAGATTTTTATTCATTATTTTGTTGTCTCTTTGCCATTGCCTTCTTATGTTGACTAGAATACCTACTAATCCAATTTTCAATTGTTTTCAACTTTGGAATGTCATTTACTTCCAACTCACCTGTTTCCACATTATTTTGGAGTTCTTCGAACATTTCTTTAGCTGTATATCGTTCACTTTTATTTATGTCACCACTATGGAAAAAAGTTTTCAACAATTCTATCACTTTATCAGACATATGTTTTCCACCACCTTTTTTCCTGTATTCTTGGTTTTCTTTTAGGGCCCACCCAAGTTGGAAGAAATTCCTAGAAAATTTTAGCAGAAGAAAGTTCAACATTACAAATTTTTTATTGCAAAAGCTGCTATTGTCTTTCCTGATCAAATTAAAGAAGTCATAATCATCAGTGACGTGAACAATCATCAAGCTTTCAATTACCTGATCTCTTTGCCATCAGATTGTGTAAGGGATAATTTTATTCTTTTTTTACTTCTTTCTTTGTTATCAGATTCTGTGATGTTACTGATTTCTATCACCCCTTCTATTTTTTTCTTTAGCCTTGCCTCTAAAAATCAAAAAGTTTATAAGCTAAGTTTTATTATTTCAATGTTTTTACTACCTTCTATTTTATTTTTTGTTTCACTTGTGATATCAGCCTTCAAAATTTCTGTTAATTCTGATCGATCATCTTTTTCATTATATTCTAGACCTCTTTGTTTCAATTTCTCTTTGATATCAACTTTTTTTAATCTATTTAATCCTATACCAGAAACTAAAAGATAAGAAATTGCATTAGTTAATAATGCTATTCTTAATTTTAATTCCAAAAGATATCAAAACTATTCTGAAATATTTATAGAATTCATTGATAATATTACCTGTCGATGGTATAGGAGTTATCCATTGACATTCAGGTTTGGTGTGTGTAGAAATTAAGGGATTTGGCCTATGTTGTTCACCACCCTTCATTTGATTTACGAATAATATCAGGAGAGAAATTATTCCATTCTCCAAAATTTGGAAGAGATCTAGCACATACAAAACCAGCCAATTCTCCTTCAACAGGCCATTGAAATTCAAACCAGCTTGAGATTCCAGAAATTGTAGGTTTTTTTCTTTCTTTATAACTTCTATCAGGATTAATATTTGCCACTGATGTTCCTTTAATAACTTTAATAGCTTCTACTATATTTTCACCCTCAGATACATTGTTTCCAAGCCTAACATATCGTTTAATTGCTTGGGAAATCTATGGAAGATAGAAAAAAAATGTGAGCATTTTTGTTATCATTTATCATCAGCATTTATCATTAACATTATTAACCTGAGCATGATGTGAATCTATTGTTGTTTTAGCCTCTCCTGCTTCTAAAAAGGTCCAGCTCCGAACCTCCACATCATACCACATATTCCATTTTGCAATTATTGCCATCAATTCAGAACAATGATAATGTGCACCATTATCAGATAGAATTCTTACCCACTTTGGTTTTTTTTCAAGGGTGTTGAATACAACTTCAAAACATGAAGCAGTAAACCATGCATCTTGAGCTGCATCTGAGGACCAGTGGTCAAAGGCATCAATTT